GGGAGGGAGGAGGAGGAGGGACGCAGCCCGACGGAAAGGGGAAAAGGAGGGCGCGAGGGCGCCAGCAGCCAGCCCGTCGCGGAGACCCACAGGTAAGTGTGTGGCGCCGAGAAAGGGGATCTGAGCCCCGAGGGGTCCTAAGACCTAAGCTGCTGAGCCAACAACGGGCCGTGGGCCCCGGTGGGCTCGATGACCAGGAGGGTGACCGTGTTGCTCACTGGGTTGGCGGCTCTGAGCTGGAGCTCTTGGGGCCGTCTTGAAAGGCAGAGGCAAAGCACGGAGCCCAGCGGTCCCAGAGTGGGAAAGTGCATGTGGTAGGAAAAGGGCGAAGCTATGCTCCCCCGCCCCCCGGGGGGGGGGGCTGCAAATCGCAAAGTTTTAAATGATCTCAGACCCTATCCACACCTCTGGGCAAAGAAGCTATGAACCTTACTCCGGAGGGCGATCTGCTGACACGGGGACTTCCTGGGACATGGTTTACCATGTCTGGCAAGTGGGTGCGAAGATACTGAAGGAATGTAGATGCGCCTAGGACCCAGGACGGCTGGGCACACCACCAGCAGGCAGGGCCCAGAACAGGTGGCCCCAGGTACAAGGGGATGGACCAGCATCTTAGAACCAAGGGATGGTTATCAGCTGAAAAGAGGCTAGTGGTCTTGGGATGTTTCCACTGGAGCTTGGCTTTCAAAACTCAAGAACAATATAGAAAGTGAGAGGGAGAAAGAGCTGGCCCGCCTCACATGAGACACAGGAAGCATGACACCAAAGTGTCCCGTGGCTGCTTGTACGGGAACACTTCTAGTCTGGCCTGGCACAAATGTATGAATCCCCCGGGGAGCTTTTAAAAAGGAGGTTCTGATTCAGTAGGTCTGGGGTGGGACCCAAGAGTCTGCATTTCTGTCCAAGCTCTCAGATGGTACTGTAGCTTATGGCCCACGCTCTGTGGCAGGCTCTACAGAACTGCTTTTTGTCCAACAGGCTGAAAAGCTGAAGCAAAAATGGGAGGCGAGGAGACAAGACAAAAATCCTAAGACTTCCCAATCCCGTCTCTAAACCACACACATGCTATGAAAAAGGTTAATCAATTGCTACTGGACTAATAGTGAAATGTTCTACTTTTCTTTCCAACTTTCTAGCCGATGAGAGGCTCCAATAACAAAGCCTCCCCAGCTTCAAGGGCTTGCTACCTGCACTTGGTTTAATGCCATGATGACACTTCACATTTTTTTTTTAAAACAAAAGATCTCCAATTTTTTTGTTGTTGTTGTTCTGGGCTCCACAAATTATGTAGTGGATCCTGTCTCAGTGGAACTGTGTCTGATTAGGGTTCAATGTGGTGGGTGATGATGAGAAAAGACTTATTAGGTTAGCTTCTGCAGTTATTCTGATCTTTCTGAACGTCTCTTTGGCTAGCTTTAGTAAATTATGAGTATGGACCCCCTAGTCATGCATGGTGTGGCAGAATTTGTTGCATTTGTTTGTTGTTAATATTAATTAGTAACAATGCATCAAGAGCATCATTATTTTTAAAGGAACTTGATTATGGCTGGACATGGTGGTGTCTATCTATAATCCCAGCTCAGGGGAAGTGGAGGCAGGAGGATCAGGAGTTCAAGGTCATCTTTGGCTATGTAGTGTATGTAAGGCCAGCTTTGGCTATGTGAGATCCTGTCTCAAACAAACAAACAAACAAAAAAGAGTTTGTTAGTACATGATACGATTAAGTGTGGTGTCAAAATAATCTGGAAGTCAACTGAAAAAGTGTGTGCTGTTTCCAAATTATTTGGGGAGTCTTTAGTGGCTCATAACATTTTGCTTAGGTGAGCTCTAGAATGAACTGGACATCGCTTCCTTTGGCTGCTTGTATGGGTCAACCACAAAGCTGGAAGATAAAAGTGGCCCAAATTTTGTAGCTCTTCAGGGATATTGTTTTCCATGGGCTCAGCACCATGCCAGCCCTGATCGGATTCCCTTCTGCTTTTATCGTTCCCCCATCCCTGCAAGGTGACCTTCATTCAGTGGAGCTAAGACAGTTTAGCTACTGCAAGGCATTGAGCAAACATAGGGTCAGCATCAGTGTTCTGTGTGTGAATCATTCTTGCCCCCCCCACACAAACTGAAGGTGTGTGTATTTTTTCAGGAGAAACAAAATGTTAGAAATACAGAAAAGAAAAAAAAATGCTACTAATTATGGATATGGGTCTGCTTAGCAGAGGGAGAAAAAATTGGAGAAATGGAATTTCATTGGTGGGTTTGGCCAGGAAATCCACTGTTTTTGGTACCATGAGGTGTCTTCCAGAAATGGCAAAGTAAGTTTGCTCAGGTGTTATGGAAAGCCAGCAAAGAAGCTGATTTTCCATGGCTGATGCAGTCATTCTAGGGACTCAGGGAGGTGGGGGATATCATAACATATGTCTGCCCTCAGTAAAAGCCTGGGAAAGGTACCTACGTCAAGAACAAGTGTTTTTTCTTAATGTTTATGCTTTCAGAGACACATAATTCTTTAATCTGTGTGGAACTTACCTCTGGGGCATGGTGGGAGGTGGTGTAGTTGGAACATTTGGGGGAAAAAAACATAAAATAACTTCCCTAAAAGATTCTGGTGAACACTTCCACTTTATAAATCTGTTTAATTCTTGAGTCTACTTTGTGTTTTTTTGTTAAATTTATGTATAACTTATTTACAAAAAAATCATCTTTATAGTGTAAAATTCTAAAAACACATATGGTCATGTAACTACCACCTAAATATAAAACTCCATTAGCCCCGAAACTTCCCCATAGATTCTTTGTATTCAACCTCTCCCACAACTTTCAGTTCCTATAATTTTGTCTTCCATGCTGGTCCATGAATGAAATCGTATACTATATAGCCTTCTGAGTCTAACTTCTGTTACCTAAGGCAATACATTTGAGATTTTATCCATGTTAGTGAGTATTTCCATTATCTGTTCTTTCTATTGCTGACTGGTACTCCATACCTTATTCACTCATCAACTCTTGAGGGTTATGAATAAAGCCAATATAAACATTCATAGATAGCATTTTGTGTGAATGTACATTTTCATTTCACTTGGTTTAATATTTGAAAATAAGGTTGCTGTTTTGAATGGTAAGCTAACTTTAAGAACCTGTCTAACTTTTCCAGAGTGGTTATAGCATTTTGTTTGTTTGTTTGTTCATTTTGTAGTACTTGGGATCGGACTTAGGGCCTCACACATGCTAAGTGAGTGCTCCACCACTCACTTCCACCCTCAGCTTGTGTTGTTCAGTTTTCCTTCCTGCCATTGATGAATGAGAAGTTCAGGTGCTTGGTGCTTGGTATTATTGGTTTATTTTATTTGTAAATGGTTTTGCTCATGTTTGTTTTTTAATTGTACATTGAAAGCACCACTATCTCAAGCCGTTACTAATTATATGGGCTTGCTGTTGCCCCTGGTTTGGTTTGGTTTTGCCTTTCAGAGAAACAGCTGGGTCACGTCATCTTATTTTATTCACGTTATGTTTTGAGTACATCACTGTATCTTTTCTAGTCATTACCTCAACACACACACACACACACACACACACACACACACACACACGTATGACTTTATTGCTAATTTTATATAAAATGATAGTTAAGGTTTGCTGTTTACATATAAATATCCAGTTGAAACATCATTAGATAAAAAGACTCTCCTCCCTTTCCGTGATACCTTCTTGACTCCTTTGTTTGAAATGGACTACATATGTGTATTTATTTTAATTTCTCTATTGTGTTCCATTTATTGATGTGACTCTCTTATACTAATACTATACTATAGGCCTCTTAATTTTTTTTATGAGACCGAGTCTCATGTATCCAAGACTAGATTCAAACTTGAACTCAGTATGTAGCTGTGTATGATCTTGACGTTCTGATATCAGTGCCTCCAATTTGTCTTTGAATGGCAATAATTAAGGGATCCGCTCCTAGTATTTTTACCTCATTCTGTTTTGTCTTAGTGACCTGGATTCCTTCTAGAATAACGTTGAGCAGCAGTGTCTGACTTGAGTAGGAAGTCTTCTAAAAGTTCTGTTGTGTTGTAAAGTTCCAGTGGCTACTCTTATCTTTGAAACATTCCTTAACATTTTTAGCTTGTTTAAAGTCTGAAGTTTAATTTGAAATTTTATTGTAGTGATTGGAATTATTTTATTCACTGAAAACCTAACAGGTTTGTGGCCAGTTGTCTTTCTGGCTTTGTGGGTTCAATATTGATTTTCTTGGAGAAGTTCATATAGAATTAAAGCAAATGGCTTTATTTAGACAGATTATGAAGAACTCATCCATGGAGAATTTTAATAATGTTCTCATGGATGTATACTGGGGACAGTGTGGGAGGGAGGAAGTAAAGGGACTGTTTTAACCATATATGTGTATGAACACAATAGCTTTGTGGTATTTTTCAAATTTCCCTAGCCACTATTTTCAGTGAAAATGTATTTTATATTCAACTCCTGTTCAAGTATATCTGTATATAATTGAAACAAAATCTTTCAAAGTGTATGCATTATATTCTGATTATTTTCCATTCTCTCCCATCTGTCCTCTATTATTTCAACATGATTGTGATCTTCTAAGTTGGTTTGATCATGCTCTCATGTAATTTCCTGGCACAGTTTGTGAAGTACTGCTTTATTGGGGGCCAGCAAGATTTCTCAGCAAGTAAAGGTAATTGCCATGCAAGCCTGATGATGTAAATCCAATTCCTGGAACCCACAGTGGAAGGAGAAAACCCATTTCAGGCAGTTACCTCTGACCTACACATGCCTGCCATGGTACATGTGAATGCACTGGTTCTCTCTTTTCCTCCTTCCCTCCCTCCATCCCTCCCTCCCTCCCTCCTTCCCTCCCTCCCTCCTTCCTTCCCTCTTTCTCCTTCTTCCTCTTCCCCCTCCATTTTCCTCCTCCTTCTCCTCCCCCAACTCTCCCCCCTCATACACACACATCACACACAGAAACACACACAAAATAATAATAAATAATTTTTAAAATTTAATTTAAATATTTATTTTTTAGTTCACTGGGTTCTTCTGGTTTGTATCCAAGACACATTCATTTTTCTATTAA